GGCCCCACAAATTTTACATTCCTTCTGTACAATGGAACAGCTTCTGAGCTTAGCTGCTTAGGAGAGGGATAGGATACCCACTCCCCAAGCCCAGGCTAGCCTATTGCCTGATGGTGTAGGTGCTCCTCTGGGAAGTGGAAGATATGAGTTTAAGTCCTCACAGGCTGAGGAAGGAACTAAAAAACCTAGGGGTTTCTCTTTCTGGTATTGTATAGAAGGTAGCTGTTGTTACGACCACCCCCATCTTTTTAAAAGGAAAGCAGTGAATCATAGAAAATTAGGGTTGGAAAGGACCTCAGAAGGTCTAGTCCAACCCCCAGCTCAAAGCAGGACCAGCCCCAACTACATCATTCTAACCAGCGCTTTGTTGAGCCAGGCCTTAAAAACCTCCAAGGATGGACATTCCCCTACCTTTCTAGGTAACCTGTTCCAGTGCTTCACCACCTTCCTAGTGAGAAAGCTTTTCCTAATATGCAACCTAAACTTCCCTTGCTGCAACTCAAAACCATTGCTCCTTGTTCTGTCATCTGCCACCACTAAGAACGGTCTACCTTCATCCTCTTTGTAACCACCTTTCAGGTAGTTGACGGCTGTTATTAAATCCCTCCTCAGTCTTCTCTTGATAGGTAGGTTGAACATATACTCCTGTCGACATGCTGTTGATACTATCAGGGACACTACCTCTCCGACTAAGAAGACAGAAGGCAACTCTTGGCCTTGCTCAGCATGCCCAACAAAACCAGGAACACCTGCTTCCTGAAATCTTGGAGCAACCAGTACATAAGCATCAAAAGTTAAGAAACTCATTTAGACAGGAGGTGCGGGTACTATTGCAATAGTGTGGGGGTGGGAACAGTGCCCTATGGGCACTTGAACGACACCACAAAAAGTAGGATGAGACTGATTCTTGTCTCATGTGCTTCATAAGCAACCAAACACCGTATCTAAACAGGTACACACTTCCCCGCAATTTATGGATTAAACTAAACAGGATTTGCTCTGGAGCTGGACATTTTAATGCTACATTTTATAAGATTGGCTTAAAGGACAGTCCAATACGTGAGTGTGGTGATGCATCACAGACTGCTGACTTCCTCCTCATTAGTGCAGCATACCCACATACTCAGGATGAGGACCTGGCAAGCATCAACAATAAAGCAGTTGTGTGGCTCCACCATATTAATGATGTGTAAAGGGGGAAATGAAGTATATGAGAGAAAAAGAAGTTTTCTCTTCTCCAGATTAAATAAGCCCAGTTCCCTCGGCCACTCTTCATAAGTCATGTGCCCCAGCCTCCTAGCCATTTTTGTTGCCCTGCACTGGACTCTCTCCAACTTCTCCACATCCTTTCTATAGTGGTGGGCCCAAAACTGGACACAGTACTCCAAGTTTGGCCTTACCAGTGCAGAATAGAGGGGAATAATTATTTCCCTTGATCTACTGGTAATGCTTATATTAATGTAGCCCAGTATGCTGTTAGATTTCTTGGCTAGGGACAGACATTCAAAAAGCCTGAGCCTGAATTGATTCAATCTTTGCAGATTAGTCTAACCTGGCTAGGCTGAACTGGTTTGCAACTGTACAGACATTCCCTCTGGGCTGAAGAAATGCAGGCACATGCCTGCAGTGGCTCAGGCTGGAAGCCGGGGAACTGCTAAAGCAGCCCTTCCTTCCCTTTCACAGTGCTGAGCTGGGGGGGCTGGCCAGGCCCCAGCAGGATGCTCTGATTAGGGAGGGTTTCTCCCCCCACCTTGCTGCTCCTGACCAGCCAGGGAGTCAGCAGAGAGTTGATAACACAGTGTTTAACACCCCATCAAGAAAACAAAAGCCTCTCTCATTAGTTCAAGCTCCTCTTAAACAACTTTTTCCAAGGAAAGAATGGAGGGATGTTACCAGCTACCTGTTGATTAGCTCCAGAAAGCCCTAAGCAGATACTGTCCTGTCTGCCTTTATCCTGTCTGCCTTACACTGACACCTCTTGGCATTAGCTAGCATATCACATGCTGGCTATGGTCCATGCTATGGGGGAGGGAAGGGGGGGAATCCCTGCTTGAGTAAGGAGTGGTGAGGGGGTGCAGCACAGGAAAGTCAGGCAGACACTGCTGTGCCTGCTGTCTGTGCCGGACTCTCCAGCAGAGATTCTCACCCAGGGCTGCAAAGTGTCTAGGATGCTGGGGGACTCTGATGTAAGTTAAACCAGGAAAGGTTCTGGAACAGACATTACATAAACCAGTTTGACCCAAATCCTAAATTGGATACTACATTCAACCAGGTTTATCTCAAACTGGTTTTAGCCATTTTCAAGCTGGTTTATGTGCACTGAATGTCTGTTCTGTTACAGGTTTAAACCAGTTTCTGATCACTTAGACTGGTTTTTGTGTAATGTCTGTCCCTAGCCCTTGGCAACAAGGGTACACTGTTGACTCATATCCAGCTTATTCTCCACTATAATCCTCAGGTCCTTTTCTGAGGAGCTGCTGCTTAGCCAGTTGGTCCCAAGCCTGCAGTGGTGCATGGGATTCTTTCATCCCAAGTGCAGGACTTTGCACTTGCCCTTGTTGAACCTCATGCGATTTCTTTTGCTGTAGATGCTCACCATCAGGAAAGGAGTTCAGGTGCTGGGTCCTGAATGGATGGAGGTGTCTGCCTGCAGTGTTGACTCAGGTGCTCCAGACAGGAGTGGGATTTCAGACCCCAACTGTGCTTTGAGTTTCTCATAGTCTAGCTCTTGGCAACTCCAACTGGTGTTAAAGCTTTTCAAATCACCCTTCTGAGATACCTAACCCTCCCCATGCACTGCAAAGAGAGGTTTGGTGCTTAATTCTGGTTTTTGGATTCCCTAGGGTCAGAATCACCAATAATATTGGTATCATAGTGCTTTATTATAGGGGCCTGAGTCTTATATTTGGTTTGGTACCTTGTGGGATTTTCAAAAGTAGTTAAATGTCTAAATCCTAATAACATAGGCATTTCTAAAATACTTCTAGGCACCTATCTGCATCATTAGCCACTCAGATACCTGTAAATACATGGCCCAAAATGCTTACCTTTTACTAAGCATCCAAAGAAAGAGTCTCACTAGGACACTGATAGCAAACAACAGCCTGTGCTCCTCAGGTTCTGCAATCTCTCTGTATACTGTAAGGTTTTGGGGGCAGAGGCCACTTTTCTGTTCTGTGTTTTTGCAGGGCCTAGTGTAGGGCCTAGATGTGGTTCATCACTAGGCCCCCAGGTGCTACCATAATACAAATAATGCATAACAAATAAAAAAATAATAAGACCCTAATATGTCAGACACTGAATTCAGTGCCTTTGCAGTAAGGGGTTGCATTGGTTTGGACAGCATCAGTATAGTGGCCTTTCAGGAATTTTTCTTGCAAGTTCTTATACTGTATAGGTACAGAGTTTCAAGCCTCCTAGCAATGCACATAATAAACACTGGCATAACTTTAAATCCATGATCAGTTCCACTGGCTACAGTGGGACCACATTTGTGCTTAAAGATAGGCATAGCTATTCCCCGGATCAAGGCCCGTATAGTAACAGGACACCCTAGCTTCTGTCTGTATTGGAATAACATATAGCTGTCTGAAGATGCTGAAGTTGATTTGTGGGAAGGTAAAGCATGCATCTGTTTATTTATTTTTAGGATGAAGTCAATCAGATTATGGAAACCAATCTGTGGCTGCGACATGTAAGTGACGGCCTTATGCATCAGTATGTGTCTTGCTTCAGCACTGCGCTTTGCACATGTGTGTTAATACAGGAATTGAATGTGAAGAACAAACATCTGTTTGTAACGCTCTCTTCAAGGGCACAGATAAGGAGTAACAGTAATCTAACCAAGCATACAGTTGAAACCTCATCTAAATTATGTAGCATAATAGCTGAAATTACGTAAAACGTTCTTTCATATTTCCTTTGGGGATTTACTCCTCCAAGTGTATTACCATGCATTTCATCTGTTAAATCTCATTTCACTGGGCTTAATCCAAGCATATTGAGGGACAATTTAATATACAGCTCTGCACACATATTGAATAGTTTCATAAAAGCAATTTAAGTATCTTTTTTATTCATAAATTGATTATTTTATGTGTCCAGTTCTATGCCTAACTGAGTGAGAAAAGACTATCAAATTATCAGAATCTATAAGGAGATATGTGTTTGTGCTCCAGTTGCAAACATAGATTGGTATCTTTATATTGGTCATTAACACAGGCAATCCACTGCTATGTAAACCAACACCTACAGTACATAAATAGTTTCATTTCCCCATCTTCACTTAGCCCTCTCTATATAGACAGCAAAGTCTTCAGGAAGGGGGCATCTCTTGCTATATAGCTGTATTGCTACTCATCTTTGGGCTTACAGGCACTATTGTGATAACAGTGACTGCAGTGCCACAGAAGAATCACTACAGGAGACTCATGTAGGTCAGCATGGTTGTAGATTATGGAGGCAGCATCAAGCTAGAAGAGAGCCATTAGTTTAACTCCAGCAATCCTCATGTATTCTTTAGATTGGGGCGGGCAAAATACGGTCTGAGGGCCAGATCCAGTCTGCCAGGCCATTCTATCTGGCCCACAAAGCCCCTAAAAAATTTAGAAAATTAATATTTATTTGCTCCTGGCTGCCTGTCAAAGATGACAGGAGACAAGGGCAGTAGGACCCAGGGGAAGCCAGCGGCAGGCCCCAGCAGCAAGGCCCGCCCAGCCCTGCCCCCCCAACCAGAAGCCCCTGCCTAGCAGAGGCTTCTAGCCTGGGAACATGGGGCTGTTCCTACTTCCCTGCACCAGAGAGGGATACATGGCCCTCAACAGCTTGCCAAAACTCAGTAAGTGGCCCTCCACCCAAAATAATTGCCTGCCCCTGCTTTAGATCAACTTGCATGGAGCTCTAGGATCACTGGAGGTAAGCTAATGGCTCTTTTCTGGCTTGATGCTTTCATCCCAAAGCTCTGTAAGTGCTGAGCCTTCATTTTCTGTACACACAGCACATTTTCCTTTCCACTCTCTAAGAGCAAATTAAAAGACTAGGCTGAAAGAACTGAAAACTCCAGAGATCATTCTTTCTTCCTCTAGATTTGGAATGACTACAAATTGCGATGGGATCCAATGGAATTTGATGGAATTGAATTTGTTCGAGTACCAGCAGATAAAATCTGGAAACCTGACATTGTCTTGTATAATAAGTATGATTTTTTTTGCCTTTCCCATCTTTTGAAAGTTACCTTTTCCATCTTTTGCCTTTCCCATCTTTTGAAAGTTACCTGGTTTCCATAGTCCTTGGAAACTGCTCTTTCGCTTTCATGTTCGTATTGTTCACAATTTCTCCTCTGTATTCCTAGTGCTGTTGGGGATTTTCAAGTGGAAGGAAAAACCAAAGCGCTCCTTCGATATGATGGTATGATCACGTGGACTCCACCAGCTATTTTTAAGAGTTCCTGTCCTATGGATATCACCTTTTTCCCTTTTGATCACCAGAACTGTTCACTGAAATTCGGCTCCTGGACATATGACAAAGCCAAAATTGATCTTGTGATCATTGGCTCCAAAGTAGATATGAATGATTTTTGGGAAAACAGTGAATGGGAAATAGTTGATGCTTCTGGCTATAAACATGATATAAAATATAACTGTTGTGAAGAGATCTATACAGATATAACATACTCCTTCTATATTCGTAGATTACCAATGTTTTACACCATTAATTTGATTATTCCCTGTCTCTTCATTTCATTCCTAACTGTGTTAGTATTTTACCTTCCATCTGACTGTGGCGAAAAGGTGACCCTCTGCATCTCAGTGCTGCTTTCATTGACTGTGTTTTTATTGGTGATCACAGAAACAATTCCATCCACCTCTCTGGTCATTCCGCTGGTTGGAGAATACCTGCTTTTCACCATGATTTTTGTGACACTATCAATTGTTGTCACAGTGTTTGTTCTGAACATCCATTACAGGACTCCCACCACACACACTATGCCCAAATGGGTGAAAACTGTCTTCCTTAACCTGCTGCCCAAACTCCTGATGATGAGGAGACCTCTGGAAGAGCAGAGCAAGGTTGGTTCAAAACAAAATAAGAAGGAACCACCCAGTACACGTGGAAAAATGAAGCACAGCAAATCCAGTGATGCTAAATTATACAAGGAGCAGAGATGCTGCCATTGTGACAAAGTGAACGACCTGGCTATCAGTAAAAAGAGACGAGCAAGCCATCATTCAATGAAGTGGGTAACAGAACATGTGGAGTACTCCCCTGAGATCAAGGATGTCATATGTAATGTTCAGTTCATTGCAGAGAACATGAAGAATCAAAATGAAACAAAAGAGGTAAGGGAGGTGGTCACCCCGTCACCAGCACAGGGACATGCTTTGAACCTGTTCTTCCCTCTGGGTGTGTCTACACGTGCATTTATGATGGCTTAAATTTACTGCACTGTAAACGGGAAGAGGCTGGCATCTACATATGCAACAGTTAAAGCGCAGTAATGCTGTGTGTGGACTAACTTGGGACTAAAGTCAGTCCACATACACAGTGTTAACTGTGCAGTAAGGCATTTACATGTGCATTACTGTGCAGTAACTAATTGGGCATAAATCACCATGTTTTTCTGTGCAATACAGGTGTGCACATGTAGATGCACACCCATACTGCACAGTAATTTCAGTTACTACACAGTAAATGTGCAGGTGTAGACCTGTCCAATGGCAAGCAGTTATGTGCACAAGTAGTAACTGTTAAACTAGAGGGCGCTCTTTGTGGAGGGTGATGCTGCTTAAGATTAATCTAAGCCCCCTGGTAGACATTATACCTAAGACACGATTACCCTGTTAATCATGTTATGAAGAGTAACCCAGCCATGTTCAAGAAATTGATGGCCCAACAAAACAAGAAACCAGCCACAAAATTATTCCACAAAATGTGTGTGATATGTTTGTGGCTGGTTTCCATTGCACTTTAAATTGAACATATGGCAACAGTAAACCAGATCTGGTACAAGACCTCAGTGTGGTGCCAGGACTGGGACCAACAATCAGTTGATTGTCAGTCCTGGCCCCAGGACTTCTCTGATTTATTCCAGGTTGTGAGCACCTGGCTTGCCACTTACCAGTGCAGGGGAAGCCCAGGACCATGATCCCAGGCTCTCCCTACATAGGCAAGTAGCAATTACATCATTGGGATCTGATCCCTAATCCCAAAATCATGATTCCTGGCATTAAATGAACAGGTGCCAGGGACCCAAGTATTGGGAGCTGGTTCGTAGCCCTCTAGTGGGCCTCACCATGTTTTGTCACAGGAACCACCAGAAACCAGTCTGAGCAGCCAGAAGTCTCTAAGCAGGCCTGGCTTGTTTATATATGGTTAGCAGACACTTGGCACATCTACACATGCACCCAACTGTGCAGTTGTTACTGTGCAGTCATTTAGTACTTGCTTTAGCTAGTTGTGCGTGTGTAGACGAAACAAGGGGAATATGTGCATGACGCTTTAAAGCGTGTTAAATGCTTTTGCATTGCTTTAATGGTGTTGGTGTTTGCATGTGGTAGCAAATTTGGTGGCGTAATGCACCTTAGATGACTTGGGACGCAGCAAACTAAAACTCCTCCAAGGAGTTTTAGTTTGCTGCCCTACAGCCACAGAGCGAAGTACCCGGTTCCATGCAGCTCAGGGGCTGTGCAGGAAGCCCTGCAGGCAGCCTGGCAGCAGCCCGGGAAGGCAGGCTCCACCCAAGCCTGCCTGCCTACCTGAGCTGTGCGGGGGTCTGGTGCTTCCCTCTGTGGCTGCAGTGCCCCCTGGAACCGCCG